AGGCCTCGTCGTCACAAATGAGCCAAGATCTCTCGCAGGCGTCTGCAAACCAGTCCGCAGTTGCAAGTTCGAACAATGCTACCTGTAAGTAAAGTTCTCGACTCGATCTAGTGCATAGTCCACAAAGTGGCAACGCTTCAGGGTATCTCTAGCGAGTGCCTGCTGATCATCTATCGTTCTAGCTGCGACCTCACAGCCGGAATCGACACTGAAGACGCAGGTTCCTCCGCGCACTTCTTCCCGCAGTTCTCGAGACCGTAGGCCGTCGAAGGACCCGAGCATTGAGCAACGTAGTGCTTCGACATCTTATCAGACAGCTTCGAGTGGCGAGCCCAGTCCTGCTCAGCCAGATATGGCCCGCTCTGGATCACTGAAACCCAATACAGAAGAGCCGAGCGACTTGAGTGGGGCAACTGCCAATGATGGCGAGAGCATAGGGAGACGATCTAAACGGAGCTTAACGGGGAGGAGGAGAACAGGAAGCAAAGGAAGTAGCAAACGTGTTCAGCAGCCGGAAGGATCCACGAGCGAGAAGGCAACCGGGCCTCAACCGTCAAACACACAACCGGCTGTCGGCGCAGAAAATAAGCCTGAGCAAAAGAAACCTTCCCTTTTGCGTCGCCTCATCTGCTGTGTGCCGGTGAAAGACAGCGAGCCCTTGGAGCCAGGCGAAGCAACACCAATTGCAAGGAAGCCGAACAAACTGCGGTCTGGTCGGTCGCCTCAACCTCCACCAAAAGATGTCCAACAAGATGCAAGCGCTGCAGAGTCGAGCACTGCAGATTCAAAGGAACCACTAGATGAGAAAACTGGACTAGCCACCAGCGCGCCAGGTGACAAAGCAGGTGCGGCCGATTCTAAGGCTAGTGCAGCTGGCGATGGTATGATGGATAGCAAAACGTCGGAAAAGCAATCGGAAATTGCTACTGTAAGTCAAGCGAGGTCTGGTGAATCACAGCACCCGCCGCAACCTCCGCCGCTTGATACATCTCAAGCCATGCTGCAAGGCTCGTCTCATCTCCAAACCCCTCCCGTGCTCAGCGTGACCGAGGCTACACCGGTTGTCTCTCAGCACGAGGATGAGTTGATATCGGACCGCACACCAGAGCAGGCCCAGACGGACGAGGAGATTGAGATGCGCGACAGTGGACCAACAATACCCATAGCACAGAACGAGGTTCACACATCGAGAGACGATATGGGTAGCTCCACCCAACGAGATACGTCGCCTCCTAAAATACCTCTTCCGCCGCCTCCACCGTTAGAAGAGAGGCAAGTTGCTACAGCTCCTCCAGTTCCGGTTCTACCAGAGCAGTCCGTTCCTGTCGTACAGTCCGACCAACAAAAGTACCTATTACCACCGATAAGACCAGAACTGCGCGGCAGAAAATGTTTGGTCCTAGATTTGGATGAAACACTTGTTCACAGCAGCTTCAAGGTAGCTAACAAGCTCTGTGACTATGAAGATGATTCTGATGATTCGCAGATACTTCACCAGGCAGATTTTACTATACCCGTCGAGATTGAGGGGCAATACCACAATGTCTACGTAATCAAACGGCCAGGTGTTGACGCTTTCATGAAGCGAGTGGGTGAACTATACGAGATAGTCGTCTTTACTGCGTCCGTTTCGAAGGTATAACATCTTCGTTGCTTCCAGGTCGACCTTGCTTACAGTGCCGCAGTATGGCGATCCATTGCTTGATCAACTCGACGTCCACCATGTTGTGCATCACCGCTTGTTTCGAGAAAGCTGTTACAATCACCAAGGAAACTACGTCAAGGACCTGTCCCAAGTTGGAAGAGACCTTCAGAAAACCATTATAATCGATAACTCTCCTACATCCTACATATTTCACCCCCAGCATGCTGTTCCCATCAGCAGTTGGTTCTCAGACGCACACGACAACGAGTTGCTTGACCTAATCCCTGTCCTGGAAGATCTCGCCGAGTCGAACGTAAATGACGTGAGCCTGGTCCTTGACGTTGCGCTATAACGATCAATCATTGCGCATTGCGATGGCCCCGACGATACCGGAAGCATCCTCGACACGATGCTTTGCTGGGAAAATGTTAATCTTCTATCTAGTGACCCGACTCAGGTTTAGTCATGGTCGCCAAACAGTGCAAAAAGGACATCTTGGCGGCCAACTACAAAGATTGTAATTACAAAACATTGGACTTCGACTTGCCGGGATTTCGGTCGGCTTGGGGCTACCCAGTACCTAGAGGATATGCGGCATATCTCGGCAAAGTTTGCTTGCAGTTCCTTTTGTCCTTCGGCATTTGCATACCTGTTTGATTAGCATGGCGGATCACCGGCGGTCATCACTTTTCTTTCGTGTCCTTCAGCTTCCTTACATGCACTCGGCCTGGCGCTGAAAAGCAAAAGCGCTTGGCGAGTTTCTCTTCACCTCTGACGCTCACGTCATTCTCTCCTACAGCCCTATGCGGCCACCACATTTTCTTTAGTCTCTCACCTTCGATACCATACCATGCTTGGCGATTGTTTTCCCTGTAGGGTGGACGAAATTGCTAAGTTTTGGCGACAGAATTGCTCGGCCAATGGGCATTCATTGCTTGTATAGTGTGTGTAGTTCTGGATTCGGGTAGATAGGGGGCCCTCGAAGAGTAGAAATAACTATGTGCATATACTGAAATTGGTCCTGTCCGTGACGTCGAGTTAAGCTCTGAATTGCTAGAATGGCACGAATGCCAAGGTGCGGCGACTGACGAAGTGGCGCCCGCTAGCCGTGGGGTCCAAATATGTTCCCAGACTGCCCCAAGCTCCATAGATTACTTCGTAACTGCGTTTCCTTAATATCGAATTCTACAATGGAGCCAGATCCTGACCCGTCTGGCGGAAAAATAACGAATGGGGGTTTGGCATCGTCCTCGAATCATGGACCACGCAGTAGCTCTGGCTGGGATGGCAAGCTCAGGATTGAGAAAAGGCCTGTGCTAGCGAATCCAGAGGCTCTTACGGATCCAGACTATTCGGATGAGGATGCCCCACCAGTTGAGCAAATTGATGCTGATGAGGGTTTGTGAGGCACATTGCGTGCTAATCCTGCCTATTGACTAATTCGATCTATGAAGATCTCCTGGATGATCTCGAAGAAGATGCTGAAGTACGTGGAGCTCTGCGTAACAATGGCGTCAGCCCCACTGATAATGCCAAAGGACATTGATTTGGTACACTGCCGAATATCTTCCATTCCAGCACTTCGTCTTGAGCGCTTCAAACAAGTCAAGGTAATGATCCAATACATAGCTTACTTCGATCATCATATCCAACTTCCTTGCTCACTCTTTCAGGAACTTTGCCTTCGCCAGAATCAAATAATCAAACCTGAGTTCCCTTCCTCACTTGGACCGACATTGGAAAACCTTGACCTTTACGACAATCTAATCTCCCATATCAACGGCTTCGAGGACCTAACCCAATTGACGAGTTTAGATCTGAGTTTCAATAAGATCAAGCACATCAAGAATGTCAAGCATCTAAAGAAATTGCGGAACCTGTATTTCGTACAGAATAAAATTCAGACCATTGAGCAGTTAGAAGGCCTGATTGAGCTGAAGAATTTGGAGCTAGCAGCAAATCGGATACGGGTACGTGTTGGGATTTGGGATCGCCACGATGCATGTTTAACACCATGTATAGGAAATCCAAAACCTCGACACCCTGACGTCCTTGGAGGAACTCTGGCTTGGCAAGAACAAAATCACGGAACTAAAGGTCTTACTCCATCCATCCACCTCCGTTTCTCAACTTCGTAAACCCCAAGCTCACACCTCCTTCCGCTCCAGAACCTCGACAGTCTCACGAACCTCAAAATCCTCTCCATCCAATCCAACCGCCTCACCAGCCTAACCGGTCTTCCCCACCTCCCCCACCTCACCGACCTCCACATCTCCCACAACGCCATCCCCTCCCTCCTCCCTCTCTCCACCGCCCCACCCACCAACCCTTCCAGCCCCGAAGGCCCCATCACACCTGCAACTCCAACCCCGTCACTCCGCGTCCTCGACATCTCCTCCAATCCGATTCCCTCGCTCTCTGGTCTCGGCCCGCTCACGCACCTCGAGGAGCTCTGGGCGTCGAGCTGCCAGCTCAGCAGCTTCGACGAGGTGGCGCGCGAGCTGGGCGACAAGCAAGAGCTGGAGACGGTGTATTTCGAGGGGAATCCGCTGCAGAGGCGGCAGCCGGCGCTGTATCGGAATAAGGTCCGCTTGGCGCTGCCGCAGGTGAGGCAGGTGGATGCGAGTAAGTTGGTTCTGTTCCCTGCTCTTCTCCTTTGCGATGGACGGAGAGAGGGAGTGTTTTTGCATGTGGATGCTGATGGGTTTCTAGCTTTTGTCAAGGTTGAGTAATGGGTGATGTATCCTTTATTTCGGCGCTGGATGTGAGGGGTTAATCAGCATGGGTGGCGTCGAGGTTGAGGCGTAGGGTCATGAGGTGGGCTAGATGCACAATGTCTGCTTCTGATAGATTCCTCGAAACTTAATGTACTACTCCGGCTTGTTCTATTATCGTTTGGGTTGTAAGTGTCTTCGGTATCAGGACCATGTCAGCCTTCCGGTCCTTTGAGTTCGATCAACATAACCGAGGATTTATGAGAAGCTCTGATTAAAAACAAAACAGAATGAACTCAGAAAGAGCGCCGAGAGTCACACTGTAGCTTTCCTTTTATACCTACATAAGCTTCTTCGACTAACACTACGGCGGGTACTCCCTTATTCTAATCATAGTATTGCTTAGACTGCCTACCTATCAGTGTACTTCAATATCACAATTGCGGGGCCTAAGGAGTACATTCACAAGGCCTACCGTGCAGATGCGCATAGATAACAGTCACAGCAGGATATTATGCCCGCACCTCGCATAGATCCAAACATGGGCTGTACGTATGCTATATGTACATAAGCAGGACGCTTTCATTGCATTGTTCATTGATTTATATTGCGAACCAAAAATTTCAAAACTTTTAGTTCTAAGTCTCGTGGTCTAGTGGTTATGATTTCTCGTTCACATTCATTATTGGAGTGAGCATTCTTCCGAGAAGGTCCCGTGTTCGACCCACGGCGAGACTAATTTTTTTTTTGATATTTTTCTTACTCCCTATCGAGGCGGAGAACGATTTCATTTTGAAAGTGTTGAGAGCCTTAAAAGGGGAGCACGGGGAGGAGCCGATAACGGAAAGTGTCGGGTAAAAAGATGATTAGTTCCGAACTCCGACGTCGGCCAAGATTTTCACCAGCAAAGCTACTCACCCTCTGATACATGCTGTAGCGAATCAACGACAGCAATTACCAAGACTTGAAGGCATTGGAAGTGATCTGGTTGCAAATCTTATACACTCCAACGTGAATTTTGTCGTACCTACCAAAATAAATTTAAAGCAGTCCAGCAAATCGGCTTACAGGAATCGGAAGAGAAGCTATCTTAACCATGTTCTAGCTTCATAAATCCGGGAGCGACCAATACGATTGAGCGGATAGCGACATTCAATTCAGCAGAGTGCGGCAGGACAAGCAAATTACCTATCGTCGTTCTTTCTTATTCTTGGGCTTCGCGTGAAGATGACAGGACTTAGAATCGCGCCAATGCGATTGAGAATACCATGGAGCTCTTCGAGAGAAGATCGGCGATTTTTGTCAAGGGCACCAGCAGCTACGAGCCTGCGTTCTGCAAGGCCCTTTTCATCATCCAGAAGACTGAAGAACGATGATCAAGGTTTCACAGAGGAAACGGGCTCTGGTGAACTCAACAAGACGAGTAGACATATTACGATTCCGAAGTCCCAAGGCGCATCGCAAGCTATGCTGTACGCTACTGGGATGCAACCCGAAGATATGAGAAAAGCACAAGTTGGCATTTCGTCTGTTTGGCACACGGGAAATCCATGCAACATGCATCTTCTGCAACTGAATGATAAGGTCAAGGAGGGCGTTCAAAGGGCAGGTTAGATGGACTATGTTCGGACAACGATGTCCTGCGAGTGCTTTAGATTAGATGGCTAACATGTTCCAGGTCTTGTTGGCATGCAATTCAATACGATCGGCGTTAGCGATGGAATATCTATGGGAACCAAAGGCATGCGATATTCGTTACAATCAAGAGATCTCATTGCAGACTCCATCGAGACTGTCATGGGTGGGCAATGGTACGACGGAAACATCTCAATACCAGGTTGTGACAAGAACATGCCGGGCGTCATCATGGCAATGGGAAGGTTCAATCTACCGTCGTTGATGGTCTATGGGGGTTCCATAGCACCAGGGTGTGCAAGCACTCTCAGTGATCCTAAAGTCGACATCGTCTCTGCCTTCCAAGCATACGGCCAATTTATCACGGGCGATATCACGGAAGAGCAACGCTTCGACATCATCAGACACGCCTGCCCTGGCAAAGGTGCCTGCGGAGGCATGTATACTGCCAATACCATGGCATCCGCAATTGAAGTCATGGGTATGAGCCTTCCTGGATCTTCTTCAAACCCTGCGGAGTCCAAAGTCAAGCAAATCGAGTGTCTTGCCGCTGGCGGTGCTGTTCGCAATCTTCTCAAAGAAGACATACGACCTCGTGACATTCTCACTCGTCAGGCCTTTGAGAACGCCATGGTCCTCGTGAACATTACAGGAGGCTCTACCAATGCGGTGTTGCACCTCATCGCCATCGCCGACTCGGTCGGTATAAAACTCACTATTGACGACTTCCAGCGTGTGAGCGATCGCACTCCTTTCCTCGCTGATCTCAAGCCCTCCGGGAAATACGTGTTCACAGACCTCCATACTATTGGTGGCACGCCCTCGCTCGTCAAGTTCCTCCTGAAGGAAGGCGTGCTGGACGGAAGCGGGATGACTGTTACAGGCAAGACGCTCGCGGAGAACGTGAAGGATGCGTCTGATTTTCCTTCCGATCAGGAGATCATTCGGCCATTCAACAAGCCTATTAAGGAGACAGGACACATACAGATTCTGCGTGGCTCGCTCGCGCCCAAGGGTTGTGTTGGCAAGATCACAGGGAAAGAAGGGATCCGATTCGCGGGCAAGGCACGTTGTTTCGACGCTGAGGATGATTTCGTCGCTGCGTTGGAAGCGGGCACTTTCAGCAAAGGCGAGAAGGTGGTTGTCATTATTCGGTATGAAGGACCAAAAGGAGGACCAGGCATGCCTGAGATGTTGAAGCCAAGTTCGGCGATCATGGGTGCTGGCCTAGGGAACGATGTTGCGATGGTGACAGATGGCAGATTTAGTGGCGGAAGCCATGGATTCTTGATCGGACATGTGGTACCAGAGGCACAAGAAGGAGGACCGATTGCTCTAGTCCGCGATGGAGATGAAGTTGTGATTGATGCCGAAAAGAGGGAGATCAACCTCGTGGGGGTGAGCGATGCGGATTTGAAGGCGAGAAGGAATGACTGGAGGGAACCACCGCTAAAGTATCAGAAAGGGACTCTGGCCAAGTATGCGAGGATGGTGCGCGACGCGAGTCACGGATGCATAACGGACGCATAAGTTATGTATTGCTTGCGCCTTGGTACAAATATTCAGAGGCATCATGCATTTGCCACACCCAACCGAGGGCAGCCAACTTGTATATCTGGTGAAAAGAAAAAGGCTATCTGTCCATTTGAGGTGCTTCGAATCGAGCCATATTACTTCATTACCACCAAGATCCAGTTAGACCTCGACTTCATACTATTTTTGCAGTACCGTCTCCCAATAATCGCCTATCGCAGGAGGAAGAAAAAGTGTTTCCTGTCTTGTAAAATTTGACGGAATTGGTTGAAGTCGGATTCTTTGTCTATTGACGGCCAACCTTCAAGACGGCTTTACTCTTCTGAGATTGGGGTATCTGTATTATTCTACATTGAAGACAACTCCTCTTATGGTCGTACTCTAGAATCCCAGGCCACGCTGGAGGCAATTTACTGTACAGTCCACAAAATCCAGGCACATGACAAAATATCCTCACGCCAGCTAAGCCCCATCTATGTTACAGCAGCCATTGAATTATGCCGAATCGAAAATCATTTCCAGGTCATTAATCTTTTCTTAGAGGCTCCAAGTCCAATCCGCAGATGCTCATTCTCCCAAGGCGAAAACCGTCGTATACCCTCGACCAGATTGCTTCCGCGTCTGCAACTCTTGGTCGTGCAGCAACTCGTTCAGGGTAAGGTACATCATACTGTGGACCTGCGAGCTCCGAATCCACAACGCGGATATATGCCGTTCCGTCTAGGAATTCCGTTGCATTAAACTCTTCCGATGCGGCCCTTAAATCCGATGTATGTGGTAAGGAATCCGCTTGTGCAAGTATATGAGAATCTTGGGCGTATGGAAAGGAATTTTGAAGAAGATCGATGTCGGTCTCTGGGTGTTTCGCATTTCGTTTTGAAAGCTGACGATATTGTGACGCAGAGGGAGTAACCAGCAGCATCTCCGACGATCTGTTATTCGGCGAGTCTCTCGACTGTAAGCTCATCAATGGAGCTTGTGGCGAGAAGGCGAGAACCGAAGCCATGACGGTGGCGTCGAATATGTGACCTGGAGGCTCGAGGTACATGATCCGTTCATACTCCGTCAACGAGAAAAGACTTGCAAGCGAGTATGACTCTCGACTTGAATCTGTCACATTCCGTCAGCAAAAGAGCTACTGAAGTTTCTGGTGCTCGCCATATACCATCCGCTCCGTCCACGAATGTAACCATCGGCCTCAATACAACCTGATATCTCCTTGCCGCAGCTCTCATCAGTCTCTTACTGCTCATTAAATACGGATCAAGGATTTCTCCTCTTCCATCCACTGCCCAAGATTTTGGAAACATCAAGACTTTTGTCGCTGGACTCTTCTGCGCATGCAATTCCGCAAATAGCATGATAGCACTGCACACCTCGTCATGATCTTTGACTAATTGTACATGTGCAAGCTTCTTCCAATCAATTGGTTTTGCCTCTGGCGATCCGGACTTGTATAGCTTGAGTGCTCTTTGACCAGCTGAGCCTAATGCGCTACCGAAAGCTCGGGACGGTTGTAGAGGTTCGATAAGGACTTCTTGAGGGGAAGAAGAAGGAGGCGGCGCAGGAGTTCGAGGCTTGATAGCTTCTTGGATGCTTGAGACTGTCCGCTGCTGTATTACGTAGCCTGAGAAAAATAGCGCCAAGGTGAAGATGAATACTACTGAAAGTCAGCATATTGGTCCGGTCGGCAACCGTTGGGAAAAGTCTCACCCACGCCAGACGATGCAAACATAGACACTTGAGCACTGGTGAGCAGCATCTTTGCAATCCCTGTATGCCAGCAGTCATCAGGATTGAAGATGGGGTAACGTCGACTCGTTTAATGAGTGGTCGCGTAAACCGGTGACGTCGCGTTGTATACTAACTTGTCGCTGCAGCAACATCCTTATCGATAAAACTTTTTTGCGACTTCATCAGGCATCATCCATCCTCATCACAAATGTGAAGCTTGAGAACGCAAGCAAAATCGACTGCGGCTTGTGGTCTAAAAACCCTTCCGTCTATCTCTCCGAACTCTTGCGCCGTCCAACGGCGTTCCTCTTCGCATCCCCTTGCCCTCTATTCCCGCCTACACTCCTCCATCCACCATGGCCGCCCACCAAGCCGATGCTAAACGTATGCTCGATGATCGCGGCTATACTGGCACCCTAATCCGCGGTCAGAATCCAGCCCTACTCTTCGAAAAGGCCGTACGCGACCGCATTACCGAGTCTTACTACTGGAAAGAGCAATGCTTCGGACTCAACGCCGCAACCCTTTGCGACCGCGCAGTCGAGCTCACCTTCATTGGCGGAACCTATGGAGTTGCGCAGAAGCCAACGCCATTTTTGTGTTTGGCGTTTAAGATGCTGCAGCTGACTCCGGACAAGGAGGTGGTGGAGGCATACTTAAATTGGGGGAGCGAAGTGTTTGATAGAAAGGCAGAAGATGATGCCGAGGGAGATGGGCTGGAGCAGCTGGACGGTGGAGAAGTGGATCATGCGAGAAGGCAGAAGACGATTCGAGCGGAGTTCAAGTATTTAAGGGCTTTGGCAGCGTTCTACATACGGTTAACGTGGGAGCCAGTG